CTGGAGGAATAACACTGCGCCTGTTGAATGAAAAAATAAGAAAATTAATCCGATTAAAGAAACACTTGTTTTTGCATGCATTAAGCTATATATAACTGGAGAAGATGCAAACCCAAAGTCGTCTACTACTGAAGACATGAATGTTAGAAGTAATATAGTACAGCCTCCGAGCATCCTCCGGCAGGGAACACGCAAGTGAGCACCAACCAGCCATTGTTGGAAAAGGCGTAGCACAAAAAGATAATAGGTTCATAATCTCGCAGTTATTACGTACACCAAAACAGCTGATCGAAAACTTTGACCAAGTCCAATAAGTCTACTCTTTATGTCACTTAACTTAGATAACCCTAACAGCGATGCAAGAAGAAAAAATTATTACAGTATCCGCCCGAGACTTTCCAGGAAAGCAAGTATTTGATAAACATGAAAATTCCGAAAACATGTGCCAAAGAAGCTAATATTACATTCCCTAAAGAATAGAATTAAAGTCGCGCTTTGCGAGGAGACTTTTATGAGGAGAAACACGATCCAGAAAATGTTCAGTACGTACGTCCTGCCTCCAGTAGGAGATCCTCAAAAACACAATTAGTGCAATCTATTATTCAGAGGAATTATTTAACTGCATATCATATCTTTTGATGAATTATGCGAGAACAAATTACCGATTATGATAAACACTTCGACTAAGCTCACATTCCTGGTGCTCCACAAATATATTGATAAATTCAAGAAGCGTATTCTTGGAAGAACATGATGCGAATAACAGCAGTTAAACACGATTCTACAAGTTTATTCGCTTCAAGTGGTTCAACGGATAGGAAGATATTCACTTGAGGTCAATCTTCATTTTCTATGCCCTTTGTATTTTTCACGCGAGTACGTTCAGCCTACTGACAAATTAGTAAACTGTCGTATTTTGGCAAAAGTGTCTAAACGAAAATAAGGAAGACGGGCGAGTTCACTTTCACTTACTCTGCAACCTATTAGGTGGGTTATGCCAAGAAACTATAAAAAGACTCGCGATCACGTCCAACATCAGCCCAGCATGAAAACACCTGTGTCCGTGTGTATGTTTATAGGATTGAAATGGCATGGAGATTAAAGTAGTATTTCTCTTGCTGCAGCATCTCATTATAGCTGTCGTTTTCATTTATGACGGATGCGTTAAATGGGTCGATACCGTGAACCCAATGACTTTAAATAGTGTATCAGAAAACCAATCCCTGCCGCATCCATCAAAGATGGCATAAAAACGGAAGGAAGTCGTTCGGTAATGAATGAATTGCTGTGAACGAATGATATGCCCATTTTATTTCCAGATTTTCAAAATTTTTCCACAGTTGCAGTGGCGTATTGAAACAAAAGGACTTAAAAAACTATTTTTGTATGTGAAATATTCCAGTAACTTACTAAATGAATGAAACTGGGCTCGTGAGTTCAAAGTAGTTAAGTTCACTGAGTTCAGTTCCTATTTAGATAGAGTAACACCGCTTTCGTAGCGTTAAAGAAAGGGCGGCAAAAACTCAGGCCTTGATGTTGAAATCAAATGCGTCTAGTAATTCATCTGAAACATGTATCAGTGAGGGTGCTACTGTATTGCTAGTTATACTCGGTTCTCATCATATATGTCATAAAAAATTGCAATTAATTTGGAATGTTGTATAAACATAGGGAATCTATTCCGTAATAAGAAAAAGTCAAAAATTCAATTTGGCTCAATTTCAGTAGCGTACAACAAACACCAAATAGCGACGGTCCAACAAACAACAACCAAGTTTCGATAGATTACGACAAATGGACGTACAACCAGTAAGAAAAAACGGGTCGTATGTTTATTAAACAAATGATCGGGTTAATCTAGCCGATGATTCATGAGTCGCGCAAGGAAGAAGAAACCCGAAAAACTCTATCCACATATGGTTTGTTACCGAAACTTAAAGATTCGTCAGGCTTACATCAGGTGTATCAGTTTCATTGTTATTCATTTGGTGGGGAGTGAGCGAATTAGCCCCCAAATTAGTTTCTAAACTCGAGCTTGACTGAAGTGAAAGATCGATCACTGTACAGAAGACATCACCTCAGCTGTCCTGTCCAACAGTGGATAAAATTGTTAGACACCTTATGAGAAGTAAATTAGTCAGAAAAGGATATCCTCCTAGATTCATTGGTATGCATCTGAAATACGGGCGCCTTTGTTATATTGTCTCAAGTACACTTGGAAAAACATTCGAGCGCCGATAGCCATTCAAGGGTGAAAACGTTCAACTGAGCAGCTGTTTAGGAAGAAGAAGTGATAGTGTGGGCTTTTGAAGGGTCGTCCTTCTGACTATTGTTAGTTTAGCCATACCCTCACCCTTGACCTTAGCGTCTTCTTTTTTGAGTGATCCTACCGAAACATTTATTTCCCCTATGAATGCATCACAGAGTACATGTAACTGTTGAGTAATTTCATGCAACTCTGTCGCCCGTCGCACAAACGGAGTCACTATAAGGGCGCAGCAATGATCCTTTTGGGCGGATCTTATTTGTTTTGTATGCGTGAGATTATTTAGCTTGTTCACTGGCACGGAAATATGTGCTTTTTAAACGGCTGAAGGTACAATCGTCTAAAGTTCAAAAACGCTGCCTGTCTGATGAAGCTCAAGCCCGCTACTAAATTGGCGGAGAGTTTTGACCAGACTGACTACAATTTCTACATGATAAAGCAGGGTTATTTCTTAGACGAAACAAACTACTCACAATGTTGCAGAAGACTCTTGGACTCTCCGAAGAAGAACCTAATTGGAAGATTCAGCTGAATTCTGCTGACTCTACCGTGCAAATCAACTCACTTGGAAGTGCGTGTATTTTGCATAGATTGCTCCCATAGTGTATCTCAAATTTCAGAATTCTTAGCTAATATGGAAAGGTCAAATAATTTACAAGGCTGTAGAGTAAAGTAAAATAAAGCAAGGAGGTGTACCTTTATTCTCTGACTGCTTTATGCAAAGTTGCCATTCTAAGATCAGTCGTTTTATTGTAGTGAATAAGCCTTCATTTGAAATAGTGGGGAATGGGATGCATTTCCAGTTTTAAAACGACACTCGGCAATGACATCACAGTGAGTTCCAATTCATTTGCTTACTTACGAAGAAGCATCAAACAAAAACAGCTGTATGCTGGCCCTCAACTAAACAATGATGTTACAAAATCTACTGTTTAATCTGAAATTCACACACTCCTTAGGCAAAAAAACTATCTGCAGTACCAAATTTGACCGATTTCCACAAGTATATCTCCTGGAATTACGCAATGAATTTTCAAATATTTGATAGCGCCAACTGTGAGTACCAATTATCGGTGTGTAGCCATCTACTGTACTGTTCGTTTTCCAAAAATGAATTAGGAAAGTTTGGGCAATATCCTCATTTGTGGATGACCGTGGTGTTCTGAATTGTTGCGCAGCGTCCAGTTCAGTGCAGCGAATGCTTGATGTAAGCAGGCAAAGTGCTACTAGAGTTCTGAATTTTGCGCAGCGTCCATTTCAGTGCAGCGAATGCTTGAAGTAAGCAGGCAAAGTGCTACTAGAAGTACACAGAAACAATTTTAGTCATGTCCAGACATAACAGGCTTCATATAAAATTGCTTAAAACTCTTCGGCAGAACACGACCGGTTTCGCCCTTCCTAGGACTCATCATGTAGGTGCAGCCCCCCAGCTTTTGTTAAATTTATGTTCTAATTAAACCCAAATGGCACAACGTTTGACTTATGCACTCACCAGCATACCAGTTTGGCTTTGGCGTTAGACCAGCTTGGGACCCAAATAAATCTCTCGTTTATGATGTTCTTAGGCAACCGAATGTTCTACACCAGGCCGCCTCGTGTTCCAGTTAGTACGAGATATTGCAGTACGATGAAAAGAAGTACTGCACTACACATAAAGCTGTCGAATATCGCACCAATGGAAAAAATGAGTCGGTTTGGTGCAGCAAATTTCGTTGATTTAAAATATCATGAACAATAGTTTCAACTGCGTTCAACGTGAATCCCTCGTCGAATGTTATTCTTGGTTTTCGAGTACGCGGATATGGCATATGATCCGCGCCAACAGTAGAATTCATGCTCAGAAGCCTGATGCGGAACGTTTTTGAAGCCTCCACTTGACGTATATTCTTTAGGAGCTTCAGAATATTTGTAGTCAAGTGATAAAAAATAGTCATCTTTTAGCAAAATATCCAGACTTAAGTGATTCTTGTACCGTGGATACAAAACAAGACGTTTACGGGGTCTTGTTTACTCACTCTGAAACCCACAAAACGATGCAGTATGAGCTAGAGCACATCATGTTATTACAAATCTACGGAGTAGCACACTTGCATGTGCGTGAATTTTCTGCTTGTTAGAAGGGATTAAAATATTATGCAGCTGTTTTTGATAGAAAGTAACGTGCTAGATTTTGTTTCAAACTGATGTTTCTGAGGCTTCGGGACAAAACTTGCAAACAGTCCGGACAAACTGCCTTTGGCTCAATGAGTTATCGGAATTCATGACTTGTCAGAGTGATGTAACAAAATTGCCCAAACTGAATTCCAGCTCTACAGTTCACAGTACAAAGCGGACGTCAACGTCCCTCCTTAATCAAGATTGTGAGAAGTTGCAAAACAGTTTTCTCGCTACGGTGTCCAGGAGCTCTCATTTGTAGAACATTTATTCCACAAAGACCCTAAGAAATAGTAAAACACCTCGTTGTAATGTCAAAGTTGCTTACAGAGTATAGTACTTTGGGGAACGGTAAACGCGTCACTAACCAGTAGCCTCTCTGTACACGGAAGACATTAGAAAATTTGCACACACAGTGCGACGGCAAAGCTGATAGCTGCGGTTTACAAAATACACCCAAGTATCTCAAGAAATAAATGTTCCACAGAAAAAATGACGATCTCGTACACACGATAAATAGTGATGCTTTACTCACCATAACTTTAATAACAGTCGGCAAAAGAATGTATCTTACAGTTAATCAGACTGAGGTGATAAAGTCTTCACTGGTTGTGTCGATGTAGTAATAACCAACGAGTTTGTCACTAAACTTTTCATTATCTGGTTCGCACGGCCTTCCGCCGTTGAGGTCATCTTGATTTACGGGATGTAAGAGATCGCAACTCATGTATTCACATGCTTCAAATTTGTGCTGGTTTCGAAAATATGGTGGTAAAATGGAGTGTGTGAGCGGCTTCTGGTATTCGCACGGCTGATGGCCAAATAATGCAGTGGTACATTTGTATACAAGCTGGCCATTATTCGGACTTTCCAAGGGTTGCGAGAGAGGAACTTGCTGCTGATGTTTATAATGTGGAGGTTTATTGGTGGCCTCAAAATTCTGTGAAGTTTCCGGAACGCAGCTGCTGCGAAGCATGCTCTGTATGCCTCCATTTTGATTGGTTTGCCGGAGTGTACCAGGAAGCCGTGTGTTGACTGTACTCTCGACTGCCAGTGAGAAACGACGGTTATCGAGCACGGTTGGCAGTTCAGTCTGGTCATCGGGCAGAGGAACAGAATTATTTCCGCCTTCACAGAAACTAGTTATCAGTTGATTCCATTGAATCTGGCCTCCTGTGTAGTTGGATCTGCTTGAATCACGTGTATTCTGGTCTTCAACTAATTTGGAACAGTCACATGTGTCACGTGGTTGCAAAGATATGATCTCCAGTGGCATCGAACTGCTTCGAGTCCAACATCGATTCATTGTGTTAGTGAAACTATTCAAGGTCATCAACTTGATGCGTGCGAAAAGGTCAATCAATAGGACGGCTGCTAGGGCCACTGCAGAAAGATAAGCAGCGACACTAGCGAAAAACAAGAGAGTGTAACTCATATTTACAAGGTTTTGTGAGCGGTGCTGTGTAGGTTGTTGGTTCGTTAAGGTTTGTTTCGAAAAGTAAGGCATCTGTAGTGATACATAGCTGCTGATGGTAGATGGGATTACCAGAAATGTGAGAATCAATGCAAAAACATATAACGAGTGACTGAATTTAGGTTTGATCATGATTATATGTGGATCCTTGTACTGATCGATGAAGGTCTCCAGGGGAACCGAGCAGCACTGAACAGCCGTAACGCTAAACAGGCCGGCGGCAATGCAAGATATACCGGTTGTAAGGGATAAAACTTCATGAACTAATGCGAAATCATTGGAGTGCGAACTGTTGAACGTGATCAGTTGTAACAAGCGGCCCAAAATGATGAGTCCACCGGAAGAAATTAAAACGGACGAAAGGGACAGTAACATCCGCCCTAAACGCAAACAAATGCAAATTCGAGTGGCCAAACCGTCCGATAATTGGTCTGTATGCTTTAATAGGAACCTGTTTCCAATATCGACAGATGATATTCTCTTTTTTCGAAACAATGCTGGGACATTGGTTATCACCGTCAGTAGACACAGGTTGCATAAAAACATGAGGGTTGCGTTCAAGATCTCTCCGATGCGAATAATTCGACAAACCCCGAAGTCAGGTTCGCACGCTACCCCAGACGGACTATCGATGGCATCTGTCGTTCGTCCCTGGTAACGTAATGCAGTGGTGGTTATCAACATCAGAGATCCAAATGTCCCAGCAATACTCAGTAAGAAACATACAAACTCCAAATATGTAGCCATCAATTTGCGCCTTTCCATCGTTTGCTTCTGTGGAAACGGAATGCAGAAGTTCGCATTTGGCACTGCTGAATCATCTGACCATAGTAGACCGCAACAGTAAGACAATAGACTGAATGCTCCTGTCAGAAAACTTATAGCAACGCTAAAAAATTCGACAAAAAACACCATTATGCTCTGCGCTTGTGGTTTCGTACCATTCGGCTGGTCCTCATTAGGCTTTATCTGTTCAGTCGGTGAGCCTTCAGGCAGTGCGATTACGTAACGATTGGAGACCAGTGTTGCGAGATTGCGAAACGTGCCAATTATGGAGAGAACACATAGGGACAACAACAATACCGGTACCACTGTTCGGCACAAATTGATTTTAACGATGAATGTGGAATTCATCTCCATAGGCCGATTCCGTGTGTGTCAGCTCTGCCCGTGATAGTTTCTCGGTGAATTAAGTTTACCACGTGTGAAATTCCATAACTATGCTTTCCGAGGACTTTTGGCGGGAAGTAACACCTTCAAAATATCGGTCTTAACAGGGAGAATGAACCAACATATGCTGACTTCAGCAAGAGCTGATGTCTGATAGTCTGATTGGTGGACAGTTGGCGTATGCACGGACATACCAAGTTGATGTTGGCACAGGATGGGAGTTGATCGAATCCGCACCAGGCGCGGAAGTACGAACGCATAACAACCACGGCACAAAACACTAACCGGTAGTGCATCAGATTTATTCACTGCGGAAAAGGATTTGCATAGTGGTGCACCAGTAATGTGGCACAGTAGCCAGTGGACGCAACGGCAATTGTTCGACAGTGGTATGATGTATGGAGGGCTCTAATGTACGCAAACCAAAGTGAATCGCAAACTTATGGCAACCAAAGGTACCTAGGCATACATCTTTCTATGTTAACAGAATGAACAGTTGCTTCACCTCGCTGGAGTGCACTTCCTTTGTTTATTATTATATGGTTATGTAAGTTTGCTAGGAATGCACCCATATTGAATGGAACTGAATAAATAGGACGTGGAACGACAATTTTATTATTAAATGCTACTTCGAAACTCATGAAATGTGGGTTGCGCCGAGTGGTGAATTGCGGCACTTTTGGTGTCGCTAAATATGATGCATAAAGCAGTGGTAATTCAGGAGAGAGGGATATGGAGTATTGTTGCGTGCGCCCAATAACAACACCGATAATGTTACATCCCAGTTATGTAGTTGAGTCACAACAAGGAAAGGAGCAACAACATGCACTTTCCAACAAATAAGTCGCAAAAACACATTCTGAGATTCGGTGCCAAAGCACAACTTTTATTCCAGCTATTCCACTTGCGTAGAGTAGGGTTGCATTCGATAGTAAATAAGCAAACACCTAACAATTTAAAGAGTCAAGTCAGCAAAAGAGTTATGAATGCGCTAAATTGAACTTTTCCCTTGAATACAATGTCAGCAGCTACAAAAGGTTAAACAGAGAATGGCCTAGCATCAACCTAAGATATTCTGCCAATTAGAGTAGAAGGCACGTTTCAAACTTGGAATGTGTATGATCATGGTTAACTAGCAAGGACATAAACATGGGACAATGATATATTCTGTGGCAATATTTGAAAAATTACTGCAAGCCGTGAACAGCATGTACTTTCTACAGGACGCATTGGAATATTTCTTATATTCTGGCCAAAGGCATACAAAAAATAAGTTGAGTGACACCCAATTTCCGGAGTACTGAACGTGTCTACTGGTGGCAGTCGCTCCACCCAAAGACTTTTAGTTATTCGTTGGTTTGCTCACTGGGCTGGGCAATTTGATTGCAAACGTTTTATCACCGATTGAAGTTTCATCTTCAGTGAGTTGAAGGGTGCATAATGGTGCATAGTGATAGGTTGGTGGTTTTGCTGAGCTATCAGCACTTTATTTTATTTGACTAGGACCCAAGAGACTGCACGATTCAGGTCAGATCATCGAAACTTTTGCGGGTGTGGCAGTAGGAATCTGGAGGGGGGTGGACGTTGTTGCCTCAAACATTCTCACCCAGAAGGCCTTCCTCGTAAGGTTTGAGATTAGAAAGCAAAATCACGAGGATTAAACATGTCTGGACATTTCTGTCGAGTAAAATCATGCGTTAAAACCCCGTATTGATCGATTGCCTTCTCTGAGGACATGCATAAATTTGACGTGTCATTTAAGGGAGGGCAGAGGGTAAATATAAGACGAAGTATAGCATTTAGGAACCATATGTCATTTTAGGTGAAAGACAAACAGGCGGTCTTCGCATATTTATAGACGAGAAAAAGCTTGAATGACCCGATCGATCACTGAAATGCGACAGGAAAAAAGTTCGTTCAATGGCTTTACATAATCCTTTCGTTTCTCCATCATCATAGAAGCTGCGGTGCCTCAAGACGGTTGTAATAATAAATGTAATAAATGTTGAGACATCCGATTTCTGTATGGATAAAATATGAGTTACATTTCGTTCTATCTCGTAAATCATGCTGATTAACTTCCTGCTTTCGTCGCCAAAGAACTGTTTGCTAAGGCGGTAAGAATCCCAGGGTTTAAGTTGAAGTCGATCCATCTAGAGAGAAAAATTACAAGCAAATTTGAAGTAATCCGCTGGCCTTTCAAAAACAAGTGGGGATGAAGATTGTTGGAATATTGGGAACCAGTTGAAGCTATCACATCGATTAGGCTTGGTAAATTCTAGAATAAAAAAGTTCCAGTTATAATGAACATGCGAAAGCCTCCTGATAGTTTTCTTTCCCTTCAAGCAATAGGCCGAGGGGTCAAGCTAGCAGATCGAACATATGTTTCAGTCGGCAAGTGAGATACATTCACTGTGGATGGAAACAAGGAGAGTGTCTAAATGTTTGAATCCACGCGCGATGATATATTATGAAACAGTCCGAGTAAAAACAGTTTCGCGGGTAAGGTTATCAAAGAATAAGGAGTTGAGTGTAAGGTGATTGTTGACATAACCAACTCTGAATAACTAAACAGTGCATCTCTGCTCAACTAGACACGAGAAAACTTCCGTCGACTCTTAAAAGAACGAGTAAGTCAATTTCTTGTTTCATCTCAGTACTCTTCTTGCAGTGCATCATTTTCAGAGAGATCAATTCTTCCATTTGGTGGTTTAAGTGGAGAAAGTTCTGCTTGTTATCAAATCAAATGCAACCATACAATACAAGGAAAGTCCGGGCAATATTATAATGCGTAAAACGCGGGTAAGCAATTGAGCTGTGAAAGCAAAATCTATGGGTATGATCACGGTTAAATAGTATAGTTTTTCTGTTTAATTCCCTTAACGGTATCGAAAACGCACGGAGGTGGAAATACATGCAAATAATCCAAGCGGAGATAAATAGGTACCAAGCAGTATTTTCTTAGCATTAGATTGGTATCATTGGTGGGAAACATTTCTCTGGGCTAACGTCATCAAAATTAACGCAACATATTACGGAGGCCTTTTCTATTGCACTTATTTGCATATCGATATTATTTTCTAGACTAGGGATGCGCAAAACGGACGTAATAGGACCAAGAACCGGTCGAATCAGGAATTACTGTGACGGTCATAGTGCACGGGTACCTGATACTCTAATATTTTTTCTAATCCAGGTTCGAATCGCAATATGGGCCATCCAATTTGAGGACATTTCCGGATATTCTTTCTTATAACTGTGGTTCCGTAAGTTTTTTTTCCGCCGCAAATACAAGAAAAATTGTCCCTCCCCTGTGAATGGGCCACGTTTCTCGGCTGCAATCTTCCCATTTTCCGACCACGTTTGCCACGAAGTTACCACCGCACGACCGGCTTCTTTGGTTATATTGCTGCTGGACAACTTTATTCTACTTACTGTGCTGGAAAGATCAATGGAGGTCACAAACGGAATAAATTCTTGGGAAAAACGATCCAGGCTCTTAACTGGTGCCTAACTATGGAAATGGGTCAGCTTTGCATTTGACCGGATTATGTGAATAGACAGTGAACCTAATGGTGTCAGCTAGCTTGACTGATGCTGAACTCTTATTTCCTATCACACATGCACTATGTGTTACCGGTGTGATCACTCAGATATTCTATTCAATGTAATCCAGATTACTTCCGCTTCATTTGAATTAAAACTTATTGATTTAGTTTGTATACAAAACGAATATATTCTACCCATATCTGGTCGGGAATTCTAAGGCTGGTGAGGAAAATCTGGGTTTCGCTTGATTCGTCTACCAAGTTGTGTAAATGATTACCGACTACCTACTATTCAGAGAGTTTTGACATGTGAATAAGCACCTGTGTGCGTACAACAGTTATGTTTGGTGAATTCGTGACTAATACTTGTCAGTATAAATGTATCCCCTGTTGTTCTGCTTGCCGATCGGTGTTGTCCGTACTTTGGATGATCTAGACGGATGAAGGCTGAAGGCTTTCACGATTGTCTGTTAGGTGGGTTTGGCTGTAAACGCGGAGTCAGCCTGATATCGTGCTGTGTAGAAATATTAGACACTGAAAAACTGATAAGTTGTTTGCACATGCAAAAGTTGTGGTATACACTGCAAGACGTTCGTCTGTATGGTTTCCTAGGGTCATGAACCAAAACCTTTTGCCTAAACACCCGATCACAAATCAGCGGTGTTTGGCAGGAAAAGCAAGTGGATTACCATTTCTATAGAGAGAGTCGCTAAACGTGTTCCAACACCCAACCTGGAAGGCCAGGAGGCTGTGTTGGTCATACCTCTAACCACTGAGCATCCTGTTATGAGATACTCTGGGAGTGCCGCACAAACAACCCAGTGTAGCTCAATGGATAGCAGAGGTACATAAACCGTATTAACAAGGTAAGATCCGGCCTCTTCGTGATGGTGTCTTTGTAGGTCCATTGAACAACTGTGTGACCTTGCTGTTAGAGGACCGGGGATAGACTCCACCTGAACACCCAGGACTGGTATTCTGAACCAGTGATAGAGAACGTCGCTAAACGTGTTCCAACACCCAACCTGGAAGGCCAGGAGGCTGTGTTGGCCTCTTCGTGACGGTGTCTTTGTAGGTCCATTGAACAACTGTGTGACCTTGCTGTTAGAGGACCGGGGATAGACTCCACCTGAACACCCAGGACTGGTATTCTGAACCAGTGATAACAGTA